GAGAGGTGGTAGATGCCCCATCCTTGGAAACACTCAAGGACAGGCTGGATGGGGCTCTGAGCAACCTGATCTAGTTGTAGATGTCCCTGCCAATTGCAGGGGGGATGGACTAGATGACCTTTAAATGTCCTCTCCATCCCAAAGCATTCTATGATTCTCAACCACCAATGAACTCAGGTGTGCACAAGTGACAGTAGTACTGCCTGCTGACAAATCATTGTTTAAGTTATTTTCATTTTTTTTTATGGCAAGTACTACTGGATTTAATACTTTCCAAGAGTTTTCTCAGTGATATGAGCTTTAGTAGGACAAGTCCAATCAACACAGCAGGGAGCAAGCGGAAATCAGAACATCTACTATAGATGAGATGGTTTAAGCTTTTAGCATCTAATCCCAAGGCTTCAGAAAATCATGTAACGTCAAGACTTGTAGCACAAGCTTTCATCTTTGCACCATGCCTCCCCCTTGCACACATGGACACATCACTTCCTTTCTGCTATCCTCACCCCCTGCCCCACCTGCAGCACAGTGGTGTGTCCCATAGCACAAACTGCGTCCCACCGGGCCGGTGGCTGAGGTGGGACATCACCTACCGCCCATGTATGCCATAGGAAAAGTGACCCCAGTGAAGCAGGAGCTGAACACCACTAAGTGCCCACATGGAGCTGCTGGCTCAGCTGCCTAGAAAAATGCCGTTCCACAAGATATCGAGTGTTGCCACCATGTACTACTTGGAAACAGCCCCTGTACCACCACCGATACACAAACTACAGGCTGGGAACCTCTATTAGGAAGCGCAAGCACAAAATGATAGGAAACACATTTTTAAAGGTATTCTTAAAAGCATAAAGTGAAGAATTTTAAAAGCAAAGGAAGAAAGAAACTTGAGGTTATTCCAGCCCATCTTCCTTGCCAGTGGAGGAGAATTCCTAATTGCACGTTTTCTAACCTAGGTTAAAACACCTAAGTGGTGAGTTTCTATTGCTTTCTCTGGGACACTTCATCTAACAGTTTCACAGTGAGATCCCATTTGTATGCAATTTATTATTTTCCTCTTCCACAATCACAGTTATCTGTGAGGCAAACCATATGTTTCCAATTCTTCTAAGCTTTCTTCATTAATCAACCTATTCAAGCCCTGATCATTTTTTGTTACTGTCCTCTGAATCTCTTCCAGTTGGATCAATATCTTTTTGGCAAAGAAATAAAGATAAGATTCCAGGTGGAGCTCAACCCATGCCACTAAGGAGGAATTATTACATCTTGGTTTATATCTTTACAAGCGTAAATCAAACAGTACTTATTTTTTTCCTCTCACCATTAAGCCAATCCTTCCTTAAGTGTACCAGTGAAAAACAGAAACAACACAACTTAAACTGTTAAGTTTTATATGTAATACTCCAACCTCAAATATGTATATCTGTAGCTTTTTTAATGCACTTAACTAAGATGAGTCCTTTTAAACAAGATATGCTTGTGAAGGTTCAGGCACCAAACATTTTTTTAAGACCTCAGTCTGAACTATTACCCTGGAAAGAAAATTCTGGACATAAAAGTTCTTAAGTTCATTATATAATACAAAAAAGATACTTCCTTCAGTTTTGTTATTTGTTACCTTTAACATAGAAGCAAATTTCCTTTCTTCTTACATTTAAAAAGTTAAATAAAACAGGAGCATATGGTCAGAAAAATATCGCTGTTCTTCCATTTCTCCTGGCTAAAAATTCAAGGATTATTAATAGAAAAACTTCTCACATGGAATCTCTTCCTCCCAGCTACTTTCCACAGAGTGGAAATAGCAGATTCCAGTCCTCTCAATCCAGCATGTTTCATTAGCTTTAAATTAAAATAAATGAAAAAGAAAGGACAAGAGTATGTAGAAGAACAACAAATACAGAAAATGGAATTTGTTAAATAACTACTTCATCTTCACAGATCAAGTCCCTTTTCAAGGAGTGCTGACAAAGATGACAGGCAACTACAGATTTTATTTCTTCTTGGTGTATCAATCTAAGAATGGGATTTAAAGGAAAAAATATTTAAAGTGCAAACATGTTGCAATGAGCCTTTCCTTGTCCTAACATTTTTCATATTAAGACTCACATCTTTATCACTTGGCACTAAATTTATTAGGAAAACAGAGTAATTAACACTATAAGCAAGTGCCATGCAGACCTAACCTACCTGGGAACTCTGGGTGCTACCATTCCGTCAGGAATTAGCACCGAAGTTACCATCAGGAAGCAACACTGTGCACAAAAGGTACCATGTTACCTCTGAAAATGCCTCTAGTATTTTCTGATAGTTCTCTACCAAAAAAGACATACTGATTGCTCAATCTTCTTAAAAACATTTCTAATCCAGAAGTTGTTGAAGAAAAATTTGTAGCTTGATATTGGAGCTAAGGCAAGAGAAAAAAAAAATGCACAGTATATCATAAACTGATCCAAACAATGCAAACAATGTGTTAGAAAGGCTAAAGTGAGTAGTTACAAGGACCTGATATACAGTAAATGTCAATTTATTTCCTCTCTTAAAGATGTGTTTATAAATCACTTCAAATGTGAAGAACCAAAGTTCTTCAAAGTTTTTTTTTGAGTTTTACACACTATTTAAAAGTGCACACATAAAAGAGGCGTAGCAAAACACATATAAAAAAAACAGAACCTGAACTTTAACTTGAATAGTTTACAGTTGAATAATTGGATTCCAAGAAAAAAAACTTCAGCTGCTAATGAAACATTTTAAAACATTGATGCCTTGATAAGTCCACGAAAACATCAAAGTCTTTTGGGAAACCTTTAAAAATGTTAGAGAAAACAAGAACCTAAACCCCCTGTTGAAGTAGAACAACTTTATAATGGCTTTCCTTTACCTACTAAAGACAAGTTTAAGGAAGATCTTTTTGCAGAAGCACTTTAGAGCTACAGCTCTAAATGCCACCCAGGCCAAGAGCTGACAGAACATATCAGCTTCTAGAAACAAAAGGAAAATATATGACAAAGCAAAACTTGACAGTAGCCCTAAAGCTTTGCCAGTGTTAATAGCTTTGGCATCTGTTCCAGTCTGAACACGTCCTCTCACTTCCTTGCACATTCCCCTCTCATTTCAGCTAAAATCTTCTGTGGAAATTCAGTGCCCTACGAAATTCCAGGGATAGGTCTATTTAAAAAGAGTACCTTTCATGAACGTTTTTTTAACAGCAGCAGGTTGTGTGGCCCTGGCTACATTTTTGATGAAACTATTTACAACCAAAATATGTTGGGTGCTACAAGGAACACCAGAGAAGAAGGATGCTTTTACTGCCAACATGCTTAAAGCATTCAGAGTTGGATACTTCACCACCCTGTAAGAATGCATGGGGCTTGTTTCACATATGGCTACAACTACAAAAACATAGCACCCCAAATTAATGCCAACTACTGTATACAACTTTTTACACTAGTCAATACCCTTGTAACCTCTTAGAAAACTAGACCGCCATCACAGAACTTATGAACAGATTTTCAAAGTGACCAGTTACCAACAATTTATTCTAGTGGTATTAACTTCTAATAGGCAAAGTTACATAAAACTATAATTTTGTTTTATAATTCTTTTATAATTTTAGAATTCTTCCTTATAAATATGGTATTTTCAAGCAATAATGAAGTTTACATCTTTTTTTCATATGTATTTCTTTCTGGAGGAAACTATTTTCCTAGAGAGACACCAAATTCAAGGACCATTGGGTTCCTCTATTTCTTCAGTTTTCCTTTGCTAGTCAGGAGAAAACAAAAAACTTCAAACCTCAACAATATGAAGCATATTAAGAAAGAGCAGAACGTTACAGAGACCTGTCCTTCACCAGACAGTATTAAAGAAGAGAGAAAGGTGCCTGTCCTATTGCAATATATAAAAAAAAAAATACATTCATGGCCTAGCAAAACTATTATTCACTTCAAAAATAGAGAAAATCAGAATCACAAACAGAAAAAATAAAGACTTAGCTACTATCTCATGACATATCCTCTTCTTATACATACAAACTGAAGCAAAAACACATAGTTGCTAGTGAAAAAGCAGTACACAGCAAAAAGATTTAGAAATATTCCTTGGAGAAGACACACAAAATGCTTACATGGATAAGAAAAGGTAATAAAAACATGCACCCCACTTCCTATAGATATTCCTTTTGTTTTTATTTTCCTTTTCAGTTTGTGGAAGAAAAGTTATTCTTGTCAGAAACATTTTGCAAAGATAGTAATAACTGTTTTTAAGAGAACGAATAGCTAAGATTTTTGGTAAAATGGCAACGTTTTTTAGCTTTTAAAAGTCTTCTCAAAACATAATACATTAAAAGGTTTTTCCGGGGAGGGGGTGCAGCTTTTAGTAGATTGCTTTTTAAAACCACCCGAACACCACATTTCCAAGATCCATTTGCCTAATGAAGTCACCATGTTGCAATTAATATATGATAGAGAGGGTATTTTAGTCAACAGAAGGTATCAATTAGAAGACCCATTCTATTTCCCCTTCCCTATGAGCAGTCTACATCTGTATGGGAGACTCAGGATAACTGACTGACTCACACTCAATAAGGATGCCTCTTCTGATACGTAATCTCAGATAATATTTGCACATCCAGAGATATTCAAATCAATATGACCAATATGAAATACATTTCACTGTTGAGAAATACATTTGGGGATAGATTCTCTCTCATCAATATCACGATTGGGTAAAAAGAGAGGATAGCATCAGTCCTCTGAATGAGTGAATGGGACTGCCCTAAATCCCATCAGCTGGAAACATTCCCCAAAGAACTGATTATGACCAGCTGGCTGCAAACTACAGACATTTGGTCTAGACTCACAAAAGCATTTGATGTGTCTCCATCCCATTGATTTCAGCAGGCACAGACTTTTAAATGCTTGTGGGAATCTGGGTCATCTCCCCTTCCTAGCCCCTGGTTTGAGTTCTGTGGTTTCAAGTAAATTTGGGACTTACTCAGACATGGCAAAGCTCTAGCTAATAGGATGTAGTCAGAATCTGCTTTTTTTTGTGCCCACTGATTAATGTGAAATTGAGGCTGAAAATTCTCCATTCATAATTAAAACTCCCGTTCTTCCATTTGGCTCCATCCTATTTGGCTCACTGAAGAGTGCTTTTAAACCCTACTGGCTTCAGTTGCAGGATTGGTCCCCAGTGGACACTATTCTCATTATAGCATTATATTTGATTTTGTTTTCCTCTCTTCCCTGAGAAGCAAGACTCTCTCTCTTCCAGGGACACTAAAATCTCCCTCTATAAATACAAATGGAAAGTGCGAAGAAGTAAAAGCAAACGCAACATGAACACAGAATAAACCAAGTTAGGTTTTGCTGGTTCCACAATTTTAAAGCAAATTGATAAGTGCATTTTATAATACATGCTATAACTACTTTATTGTGGGAAGCTTTTAGACGTCAGAATTGTTGGAAAAGGGGTTTTTGTTGGATTTGTTTGGGTTTTGTGGTGGTTTGGCTTTTTTGTTTTGGTTTGGTTTTGGGCTTTTTTTTGAGTTTTGCAAGGGGAAAGGCTAGGGCATGAGACATTTTCCTAAGCTGAGAATTTTTTAAGAACAGTGGTTGCTAAAACACAAATTGTTTTCAACATGAAGAGCTGTTATAATTCAGAAATACAGCTTTTGTAATGGCCTTAAAATTTCAACATGTTTTTCTTAAGTAATTCTTACCAAATTTTTGAAGAGTGCAGTTAATTCCTTTGTAAACACAGAAAATTTTAAAAACGCTGTTCCCAAATCTGGGTCATCCCTGCAAACACAGTTGCCTCCGAATTTCTCCAGTGCTTGTGTATACTGTTCTTCATTTTCCACGTGAGCTTCAAAAAGAGCAAAACATGAAAATATCATCAGTAGATAAAAGGTTATTGAAATTACAGTTGAGGTTTAAAAAAAAAAAAACTTTCAGAAGATTTCTTGCTAAAAATGTTTACTCGATACAATAAACATTTATTATTTCTATTTTAACACTGATACGCCAGAAGTATGACGTATCTCACTAATTCTGGTTTACATGTATCTATCCATATCCTGTACAAAGGACAATGTGTCATCAAGACAAGACAATCATCTGACAGGCATCCAACTCTAGAAAGACCCACGATATTTCTGCACCATATCCGAGACCACATAACAACTCCCAACTCATATAATGAGCTTCTAGAGTCTTTTATTAACACTAATTTTAACTGTTCTGCTATGTTTAACTGTGTGCTGAACAAAGACACAGAGATCAAGTGTGTTGGCAGAGTCCTGGATCTCTACAATAGAAGGCAATAGATCAAATAAGACTCTCGGGTCACCTTAGGAAATGGGACTACAAACTACACTACAGATGAGAACAAAACCCTTATCTATGTTAGCTCTCCGATACAGAGCAGCAGTGGGGATCTGAAGCAAATCCTAGCAGCCTGCATTTACCACAGGCCAGTTCAGTTCTCAAAGCACTTTTGGTTCAGGACAACTAGATTCCTTTCTGAGACAACAGAACCAGCAGCTCTGCCCCAGAAGTGGTCCAGTGCTTAACGGAAACAGCAGGTTCTGAGTCACTGCGTGGGCTGCACCAGTGCAAGTCATCCAGCACACACCTAACACATCTGCCCCTCAGAAAGCTTTGAGCTGCGCGTGTTGGGGGGTTATTCAGCTCAGGGAATGAGATGAAAGCTAGGCCTAAAGCAAGTTTCCCTGATTCAAATATAAAGGAAATCTGAAGGGCCTCAGCCTCAACTACTTCGACCTACTGATTCACTCCTAGGACACCAGATTACTTGCTTGTGTAGACAAGCATAAAAAGTCCCTGTCAATTTGATCTGTGCAATAAAACAAAAAGTCTTTCTGAACCCAAGCTTAGCAACCACGTCAAGCTTGAGCACATGGACAAAGCACACCAAGTTGGCACCTGAGAAAGTTCATGTTGCCTATTTCTTATTCCAGCTGTGGCCAATTTCTAACACTTCAAAGGAAGTTGGGAAAAAAGCCCCACACCCTAGAAAACAAATTATGCATTTATAAGAACAAAGACCCTTTTTTGGTCATTGCATGAGACCAGCATAAACCCTGAAGATTATTTAGAGAAGATTAATCTGTTCAAACAACCAATGATCCAGTTTCATTTCAAGCCCATTTGTATACATCAACACATTTAATATCCACAGGATTCTTGATGCAATGTCCTTTCTCCAAATTTCTATGAATTAGTTATACAACCTGTTCAATAAATGTAGCACGCTCCAACTTAAAAACAAGCCTGTCTGCTCACATTCCTATTTGGACAGCCATTCAAGAACTTTATTTCTCAAGTAGCTACAAATTTTCTTTATTTTCCAATATATGAAACTAAAATCCTGTGGAGTAGTGCTATAATATCGTGTAATTACTGTCATAATGTACATGCAGAACTGAAGTTACACAAACAGCATTAATTCTACAAGTTTCTACCATGAGCGCTTGGATTTGCAGCCTGTAAAAGATAGTTTGCGTATAGCCATTCAATTTAAAAACTACATCCTAGCACTGAACTGTACTTATTTTTCCTCACCATCAACAGCAGGGGCTGAGCACTTACCAAATGTTTTGCTACTTGAGCTGCAGGATGAAGTAAGGATATACAACTAATACTATTGTGTGACGTACACACACCTGAACAAGCTTTAAACGAACCGGCACAGACAGCAAAAAAAACAGGACGTGGCAGGTCACAACTCCTCTAGTTCACACAGCTACCCAGTAAGGTGAATTATTTCCATATTGCTTTCTGCATTCTTACTGCTTCCTGCATCCAGCTTAGCTTATTTGAACCCAGGTGAGGGTGGAGGTCAGGGCACAATTCATACAGCAAAAAGAGAAGGCTGCCACTGCATGAAAACAAGGTGAAAAGGCTGCCACCATTAATTGTTGTAGCTAGATGTGCAATCAGCAGCTGAACCATGCTGCCTTTTTCACCTTAGGAAACAAGAGCTTTCTATTCCATACAGCATCCCCAAGCGTTTTCTATTCCCCAGCATCCCAGGGACCGTTCTTCTGGATCTATGTATCAGATTAAACAAAGCCAACAAACCAGCAGCACAACAGCAGTTTTGAGACATTCCCCAGAAACCTGATGGTAGTTATTGCAGCAATACTATTAGCTGAGCTGGTACTCCACAAGTGCTTCTGAAGAACACAAAATTATATTTTTTCATGGAACCCTCCGAAATACTCTCCCTGCCTTATAGTTTCTTCCTGACAGATTTTAAAAGCTTCTCTACAAACAAAAGGTTTGGAATCTATCAAAAAAAGAAATCTGAGCCAGGTTTGTTTGAAGGTTTAGAGGCTTTTTTTAAGTAACAAACTAAATTATGTACAAATTGGAGTCACTATCCAATTCTCCATAACAGTTTCTAAGTTCACCCATTAAAAAAGAAAGCCAAAACATGTATACTTAATACCCAGGGAACCTATATTAAAAATCCAGTAACTGTGTTCTTATGAATGCAGAGCCACAAGTTTTTGTTTTGTCAAAAAAAACCCCAAGGGCTGGCAAGTGGCTAGGTTAGTGATATTTCTGCTGGTGGAAGAGAAATGCCTCCAAATCTTTGTTGTTGTCGTGGTTTAACCCAGCAGGCAGCTAAACACCACACAGCCGTTCACTCACTCCCGCCAGTGGGATGGGGGAGAGAATCGGAAAAATGCCCAGCGAGTTCCCGAGCAGCGGCTGCACCCCGCCGGCCAGCTCCCCCCAGTTTTTTGTTCAGCATGTTGTCATATGGTATGGAATATCCCTTTGGCCAGTTTGGGTCAGCTGTCCTGGCTGTGCCCCCTCCCAGCTTCTCGTGCACCTCCAGCCTACTCGCTAGCAGGGCAGTATGAGAAGCTGAAAAGTCCTTGACTTAGTGTAAGCACTGCTCAGCAACAACGAAAACGTCAGTGTGTTATCAACATTATTCTCATACTAAATCCAAAACACAGCACTATACCAGCTACTAGGAAGAAAATTTACTCTATCCCAGACAAAACCAGGACGATTGTCAAGATTGGGCAGCATGAATTTAAAAACTAGGCAAGGTGCTGATTTTATGCAAAAACTGTAGTGATTTGCTACAATGCTCTAACAAGTACACTGATTATGAGGCATCGTCAAGCACTCAAAAGTTAAAAACCCCCACCAAAACAAAAAGAAAAAACAGAAGAAAGGGTGCCAAATAAATATGTAACAGATGGCACAACTCCAGATGAATCTTAAACTGGACCCTCCACAATCCAAAGATAACAGCTTCATTACGTTAGGCAAGAAGAAACTTCCTTTCAATTAGCTGATAAGAATTATACCACAACAGCAGTTTTTGTTACAACCTTATATCAGAACACCAACATGCCCACAAGTTCTGTCAGATATTGGTGGTTCTCCAAGGTCGCCAGGCCTATCTATTTTGCATATAATACAGGTTTTGTTAGCTCTAATTGCTATGAACTGCAAAGCGAGAACAAAAGCCAACAAAATGCTGTTTCTTATCCACAAAAACAAATGCTGTGTCTTATTCACAAAATGCTGCTGATCCACAAAAGCTTCAGTTATTTTTTCAAAGAAGATAAACACACAAAACTCCATGAGATTGGCACACATATAAAAATGCACACAGCAATATTTCTTTGTATTTTTATCAGTGTTGTAAGAAAAATATCTGACTTTATGCATCATTACCATAAAAAATTGCAGCTCATCAGCTCTCTCTTGTCATGAAGTTCTCAACATACATAACTGGAAGCCACCAGGAAGGGTGAGGTTTCACAAAGCAGTAGAGACAATGTAGCTTCTTATTGCTGCCAAAGACAGTAATCTCACCCCTCCCATGCCCTCAGCTCTCAATGATACATAGGCCATACCATTTCAGGTGCTCATCTGATCCCAGTTAAGTTGATTTCACTGCATACGCAGCTTTATATGAGCTAAAAATCTCCTCTAGAGATCTGTCAAGCGCCAGGGGTGGCAGAAGGAGCAGGTAGCCCAGACCTGGTGGAAAGAGGAGAGCACGGCTTCTCCACTTGGTAGCAGTATGCCAGCTAGACAGGTTCTGCTACCTCACAAAATTGCATCCTTACTGAGCTCCTGATCAAGCAGCTAGTTCAAGACTGCTATTTAAAATGTACATTTTTCTCTTCTCAGAGTTACCCATGTAACTCTTTCTGATTCAGTAAGACAACTGACTGTTGAAATCCTCCAATTTCGCCAATATAAACTACCAGGAATTATTATGTACTTACCCAGACCAGATATGTTTATGGCTTTGACAGATTTCTTCATTTTATAGAGAACAGTTCGGTCAACATCCAGAGCCTAAAACAAGAGAAAAATTATATGTGAAATACTGGATTGTCCTCTGGTAAACCTGTGCCCTGAAAACCTTCTGTAATTATAACACTATTACGTTAGTTAACTTTATTTCTGTAATTAATAAATTACTTGCCAGTTGCTCCCACCCCCATCGTCCACAAAAATACATCTTCCCTCTTTTGCTGGTGACCAGCATCATGTATACCCAGAACGATCTAAAATGAAACTGTTTCTTCTTCCTATGTTAAATTATTAAAGCAGCTTAAAACAGTTTCAACCCATCGTATGTTCTGACACTGCTGAAGAAACAAGCAATATCACTTCCCCAGGCAGAATATTAAAAATGGAATTTAATGTCAGTTTTCCTGGATAATTTAGTTAATTAATTGCACTCCCAACCAGATGAACTTTCTCACTGCTATGCTGAACAAAATAAATTGCATATCTCTCAAATATCTTTCACACATTTTATCACTAGGCAAAGCTTTCACCAACACAACATAAAATTCAAGTTTAAATCCTGTCCAGAATACTCAAGCACTTATAACCAATTTGTTTCAAAGAAAGAAGTGGAAGCAGGCAACCATTTTGCTTCCTGAAGTGAAATATGGGCAGATGCAAAAATGTACAATTGTTCCAGAACAGAGAAGCAGAATTATGGTTACACAAATTATTTAAAAAAAAAAAAAACAAAAACAAAACAACCAAAACCACCAAAACAAAACCCTTTGTGAAATGGCACGAAAATTTAAGTATGAGTTCCAGAGATGGTGATGTCTTTAAACCTCACTGAAGAACAATACCAAACACTACAAATTATATTATGCCAAGAGCTGTTTACATGCTAAAAAAGCAAACAAAAAGCACCAAATTCATTCCAGTTTTCATTCAAAAGATTTCAGTGAAACGCAGCAGCTACACATCTGACCTACCATTGTTTCATTGTTAATAATTTGTCTAAGAGAAATGATGCAGAAAAGTCAGTCCCTAGGACCCTATCCAATTATTTTAACATACTGAATGCAAAAAGAAATATTATCCCTCATATTTATGGGAGTATTCCTAAACTGAATCCATTCAGACCACAAATAGCCGGGCAAAATCTTTGCAGCATTCCATGGAAACCAACAGATTTAGATGTTGCCTTAACGTTAATGTTTATAGTGTCATGGTACTGCTATATCCATTCGAAGCTTTACCTCCAGCATCTTTATAGCTCACATCTGAAACATATTAGCAGGAGAAGTGCAGAGGCCTTTTCACCTGGAATTCTTAAGTACAGAGGAAGGGGAAAAAAAAAATAAACTAAGAAAGCCCATAAAAAGTCACACACAGCTCTATTCATCCTCTTCAGCAATCTGAATTGCATCCACTATAACAAACCTGTATACAGTGCGATCTCAGAGGTTAGATTAGTCACCTGCCTGGATGGGAGTACGCGGAGTAAGCTCCCTCATTGTGTATTCGGTGATTTCTAAAAATAACCTCAGAAAAGCACCATCCGATCAGCTGACTACAGAGGAATGATAATTTCATCGACGACTGCATCAAAGGGCAATTAGCCTCTTGGAGACAAAGTGAAAGGAATGTCTCCAACTACAAGCATTACAAATTACAGTCCAAAGAGAAGGCTGACAGCCAGAGACTTAGAAGTTATAGATTCAGTTCCCAGCTAAGTCTCAGATTTGCGTGTGCAGTTGATAAATTATTTAATCTCTGCACCTTAGTGTGGAGGAGGGGGAGAAGAAAAAAAAAGACCATAGCACTTCTCAAAAAAAAGAAGTGTTGGAAGGATAAACGCACTGGATGAATTATGAACCACTAGCACTACTGCGGTCAGGGATCCAGACCACCTATGGATTCATAAAATCTTCTGGCCCGTGACTGCCTCAGTCAGAAAGCACAGACTCTCAGTAGCAGAAAAACTTCAAGTCCTCTTCTTCAACCAAAGTTATCATTTTGGTTTGCAGCTTCTCTCAACCAACTCCTGCTTTCACTGGGATTAGGCAGCAGAAGAGCAAATCCGTAAGGCACAGCACAGCCAGGGTCCAACAGAAATGATAGCTAATGCCCCTAACACACCACTGACGACAAGTCAAGCTTCTAGCTATCTCAGCCAGCAGGTCCACATAAAAATTCAAAACAAGGATGACAGGGAAAAAAAAAAAACAAAACACAGACAGTAGTGGGGGGGGAGAGTTATTTTTCAGTTGGGTAAACTTTCCAACTCTTGCTATGAGGCAATCCCTTGATACAACACAACCCAATGGAAAAGACAATGGGAAAATCCTCCAGGGACATTTCTGAACAAGAATTCAGTAGCTGCATGAGTGCAGCAAGCACTTTTACTATGCTGTTATCTCTACCAGCTACATTTTTTTTAATCCTTAGCATTACATTAGTCTCAACATTTCTTCACATATTCATTCACCACAATAGACCAGGCTTTGTAAGTTCAAGTTTGTTTGGAAACTGCTACCACATTTTTATGGCGATAGCGGACACTGAGTCTGTAGAATAATGCTGACACATCCAGGAAACCAATGTGACTGAAGCGGGCTAAATACCATGACCAACACTGACTTGACATTGACTTCGCTAGCTGAGGACTCAGCTCAGCTTCTGTTCAGGCAGATGATCCACTCTGAAGCCATGAAAAACAGAGAAAAATTATCCCAGTAGCAAAGTATCCTACCTTCGTATGAAGGCAACATGGACTCAACTTGTTATTTCTTCTCTCTCCCAGTTAAAAAAGAAAAAACAAAAAAAAGTGAGGAACTGAAGCAATTTGTGACAGTCAGTACTCTATGCAATTGTATTTGCATATAAAACCTAAAAGAATATTGTAATTAGCAAAATGAACAAACTGTCACAAAAATAAACTATGTTTCATTATTTAAAAATATGAGTGTTTTATTGTTGATTCAATTCATTTATGTGATTAATGAGAATGGGAAGAAATTCAACACTGAAGACTGCAAAGTTGTGTATCCAAGGGAAAAATACATATACGAACTGGGAGATCAGTCAGAAAAAACTAAGGAGAATAAAAAGGTTTGGCCTACCAGATGACTGCAGAATCACGACAGGGTGCCAAAGTGATATAGCCATGTAAAACAAAACCATGAAGATACAGATCTCCTTCCACCAAAGACAAGGAAAAAAACTAATTTAAAAAAAAAGTCACTGAATACTACGTACTCTTTGAAATGCAAAAAAAAGATGTAGGTCCAAAAAGTTGGTCTTGACAGATTACATGTCTCTCTGAACCACTGGATTTTTAACTCTCATAAACACTTGTGGAAAAATTACACACACAAAATGGGAGGCAATGTAGGTGTTGCTTTCACCCACCAGTATGTGAAGTATGGAATGCAATAAAAAGTCTTCCTTGAACTGCTCTGGTTTTGTAATTAGATTACTGCGAATAAGCTGTAGCAAACTTAAAATTGGCTAGCTCAAGCAGATAGCTAGAGAGAATTGGAACAGTACACAAATATAAATAAATGAGGCACAAAATGCTTAAATAAATAAATAATTTTAAAAAATTAAAAAGCACAAAATGCAGGAAGAACAGGCTGCCTTCCTGAAACGATCCCCAGTCACCCAAGGGTGCTTGGGCTATTATCTAGACAACTAATGATCAATACAATTTTGTTTGGATAATATGGCATTGATTGCCCATACCTTGTGCTTGTTTCGTTACCCTGACAGACAGGCTGTAGGTAGCCTCCTCTCTCCTGAATGGAAAGGGTCCTACCTAAATTCCTTACTGGTGGTAACAAAGAGGAAAAAAGGACAAACACCAAGAAATAGTTAAGCTAAAAAATAAACTTACCACAAGAAGAGCTGAGTAAAAGCTGTACCTGAACAAACTGCAACTAGGAATTGGGAAAAACAAATCCAGTTCTGGAAGGCTTTCCAAACAGGAGATAAAGGGTAACAGATATCTAGCCATTTTAAGAGGGACCTGAATAAATTTATGAAAGATTATTATGTTGCTTCCTATTGTGGTAAGAAACCAGACTTGCTCCTGTAGAAGGTTTCTCCTAGTCCTCCATTCCTTTGTGAAATCTTTTGATAATGCTGCATTTAAGAGTGGCTATGTATGCCTACAGACTAATGGACAAAATACTGAAAAACTCTGCATCTTTCATACTGTATTTTAGTCTTGCTTATAGACCAAAAAATGGGGAGGGGGACTTTGCCTTTGTTTAACTGAAAGATATTGGCACTTATTCACAACTAGTGTTTCAAAGGAGTCATTTCAGCATAAAACTTGAAAATGTCAGCTCTTTGTCTTTAGTATTGTTCTTCATATTTTCTCATCCTTTTCTTTGTCCAAATCTGAGCACTTAGAAATCAGTTTAAATACAGCTGTAGTTTTATTATACTTTGAATTTCTAATCCTGTATTTGTTTCACAAGTATACACACACTACACCAATGCACACACACGCCAAAATACTATCCTCCCCTAATTCAACTGCTTTGTGCACCTTCAGTACAGTGTCAGAAGCAGTGAAATTTAAAATGGCTTCTGGTGTTGCATATTCTAGCATTTTTTTTTACCCACTTAAAATGCCCAGTAAACTTCTGAACCAGAAGAAAAGTGACCATGTAATTCATATGGTGGGATCATTTTGTCCTCTCATGTAATGCTTCTAGTTTTGACTCAGAAAAACTATTGCAAGACTGTTTATTTTGGCATCTGTTTATTTCAGCGCAATGTAGTCAAAGAGGCCATATAAATAATTTTCATAGTCCCAGTCAGTTTCTACTGATGAGCGCTCAGACTTCCCTCTTGTTAAAAGCAGTAAATATAGCTTTGATTTAGGGAAAAAGCCCCATATTCTATACAGAACATTAGAAAAGAAGCTACATTATTGTAGAAGTGGTGCTATGCAGTGTGAACTGAAACATAAACTCAAAAGTGACCTTCTTGAGCGTGCCCTTGTCAGTGCAATATTTTTCCAAACACAGTATTTATGTCTTCTGTTCATT